CCATGTTCTCTACTTTTCTTGCCCTTGTAACAAAATAGTTCTTATACTTGTTGAATTTTAATTGATTTGTGGGCTTCGTAATTTGATAGATTTACTTTTGTTTAGGGATAAGTTGCGAGTGTTAGAAAAATATTTTATTTTAAAATTTTCTAAGAATAGTCTACTTCTTATGTGATGGTTGGTGATCTTGCTGAATCACATTGTTTTCACTTTTCTTATGGTTCGATTTTGTTTTTGAGTACAATAAAACTAGTTGTACAAACATGGTTGACAATCCTAGTTGACAATCATGTATTGTCAAAATTCGAGTCTTAAAATGGATGAATGTAATACTGTCGAGTAGAATGTTGTCAATTAATGATGTTAACAAAAATTGTACAAGTAGCATGATTCTTTTGATTAATGTTATTTACAATCACTCACTGTCATAGTCGCTCCACGTGGCATACATGTGATGATTAATGCTATTTGTAGTCGCTCACTGGTTTCTTAAGTTTCTGCTACATCTTTGCGCATTAGACAATTTGTTAAGCTAATTGGCCAAATTTCTAAGATTAGCTCTCTCTCTCTCTCTCTCTCTCCCCTTTATTTACCAAACAACTTTCCAGAAATTTTCTCTTTCTAACCTCATGTATATACATCTCTAGAAAAACATTCATATATCCACATATAATTAATTGCTTATATATCCACGATGAGCTCAGGAGATGAAGCTTCTCAAACGCTTTCCAAGAAATCCAAGAAGCCCCAATGTAGATGGCTTTCTTCAATATAACATTATTGTTCATCGTTCTCTTATATTTCTTAAATTATGTTTTTACAATTCTTACGTGATTACAAGCATGTTTGAGAAGTGGTTATAAACGGTTTTGTTTATAAATATATGAAAATGAACGTTGAATAGATGGATAGTATTTGTAAATCGTATGAAACGTGTGGATAAAAAGTATTTTTCGTGGAAATCCTTTCTCTTACTAATTTCACTGACCACGTTATTGTTTGTGTTGATTGGAACAAGAAAATATACCCCCATTTATTACGATTTTGTAATGTTTTCCAGATTCCAGATTTACTCAGCAAGAACTTCCTGCTTGCAAACCAATCTTAACTCCCGGATTGGTACGGTTCCAATACTATATATATCCATGTCGATCCACTTGATCTTGAAGTTCCAAATTATCTGTATAAACTTCTGATTTTGCATCTAATTCAGGTCATAACAACTTTAATCTCCATTGGCATCATATTTGTTCCTATTGGCCTCGGTTCCTTGTCTGCATCAGAGCACGTAATATTCTAGCATATCTTTCTTGTTGCAGTCTCTTTTCAGCCTTAATGGTTAGTATTAGAAAAGTTTCTTTTTGTTTTTACATTTAGGTGGTGGAAATTGTCGACCGATATGATGATGCTTGTGTTCCTTCAAAAGGTGACGACGAGGCAGCAAAGCGTGAGAGGCTTTCATTCATCCAGAACGCGAAAACGAATAAAACCTGCATCAGGAATTTAGTTGTCAGTTTAATCCCTTGTAACCTTTTGTATTTTTCTCAATTAAGTTGATTTTATTATACAACTTTGTGGAACATCTCTCCAGGTTCCAAAGAAGATGAAGCATCCCATTTATGTATATTATCAGCTTGACAACTTCTATCAAAACCATCGACGGTATGTTACAATATGGGAAAGTCATTTTATATCCCTTCTCAACTTTATATTATTATAAAGTTGTGGAAAATGATTCATGTAGTCGACTCCTAATTTATTAGGACCAAAAATATTATTCACGATAAAACATTGCATATTTTCATTGACTTACGAACACGGATGTTTGGATCTTGGATTTGATAGAGGAAAATGAAATCGCAAAGCAAAAGATAAGAAGAAATGAATATGTAAATTAGCAAATGTTTCCTTGCATTTGCAAGTATGCACATTTCTATTCTTTTAACAGTATTTCAATGTCTTTCTTGACTTGAAACTGTACCATGGTACAGATATGTAAAAAGTAGAAGTGATAGGCAATACCGGAGCCCCGGATCTGAGGGAGAAACAAAGACTTGTGATCCTGAGTCTGAAGTCGATGATCACAGACCTATTGTTCCATGCGGCCTAATTGCTTGGAGTTTGTTCAACGACACATATGGGATTTCGACCAAAGACAATCCCATACCAATTAACAAGAAAGACATTGCATGGCAAAGTGACAAGAATTCTAAATTTGGGTCTAATGTCTATCCTAAAAATTTCCAAAAGCAAGATCCAGTTGGGGGTGGAAAACTTAATGAAAGCGTACCAGTAAGTCGACTCCCCCTTTTCTCTATATCAATTTTATTGCAGTTCAAAATCAAATTTCATATTGTTCAAATTGTTATCATAGTTAAGCCTCAAAAATTACTTATATTTGATTAATCCTTCATTGTTGGCACTCATTTTCAATTAACTTTCATAAGCTGTACCTAAACTAAAATGTTGTACATGAAAAACTCCACATGACCAATTAGATTCAAGGTCCAGCGCTAAGAGAAGTTGCTTACTTTCCTACTAATAACAGAGGAAAAGGGCAGTTTTTTTCCTTGTAACAGTGGGCATCTAAATTAAAAAGCTGTACTTAACATGTCAATCTGTTTCAAGGTCCAGCGTTAATAGAAGTTGCTTAGAGTATTTTTGGTATGGATTCTCATTTTTTATAGTAAATCAATTCTCATTTTCAACCATACATTCTTCAATAAAATAATATTTTCCATCACATCAATACTTTTTCTTCTTTTTCAACCACACATTTCCTATCATATTACTATTCAAAAATCAATTCTTCCTCCAAAAATCCCTACCAAACACACTGTTAGTTTCTTTATAGCAAAGGAAAAGGGCAGGGTTCTGTTCTTCACAGTGTGCAGGTCTACTCTGATCATTTTATAAAACTTGAAAGCTTTAAAAATTCAGAATAAATTGTTCCCATCTCTCTCTGGATCTGAGATACTAGAACTAATTTAGAGCATTGACAAACAAAAGTTTAGCTTATTTTTCTCATTTAATACTGTCCAGTACAGTTCAATCCAACCATACCAGTACAGTATAGTGAATATAGAATATTTATTTCTTTATCATCTATATATGTCTACTCCTGATTCATATTAATTGTTTTGTCCTTGTGATTTCATGTAATAGTTGAGTGAACAAGAGGACCTTCTTGTTTGGATGAGAACTGCAGCATTACCCAATTTCAGAAAGTTATATGGGAGGATAGAGACTGATTTGGAAGCCAATGAGAAGATAACAGTAGTAATACAAAACAATTATAACACATATTCTTTTGACAGCAAAAAACAGCTAGTACTTTCCACAACCACTTGGATTGGTGGGAAAAATGACTTTCTTGGCAAGGCCTACATCTCTGTTGGTGGAATTTGCTTGTTCCTTGCAATAGCTTTCATATTAACTTATGTCATCAAGCCCAGGTAAACACTTTCTCCATA